AGTAGCCCTGAGCTTTACAGTTAGTTGCAAATATGAAATATGGGCAAGAGGGCATTCCTCAGCCTTTTCTAGAAACAATAACTTGTGCTTTCCTCCTCTCTTTCTCTCTAGCTCGAGGTTCAAATTTACTCTCATCAGAACTTCAGTCCTTAACCTCAGCAACCTAAAACTGGCATTCAAAGCCTTCACAACTGGCTTTGTGTCAGTCAGGGTCAACCAATGATACAGACCCAGTTGGAGATAAATGTATTGGATGTATTGCAAGGAATTGGTGTGCACCGTTGTGGGGCTGGTTTGGCAAGTCTGAAATCCAGTGGGTAGGGCTGGTAGGCCATGGGGAAGAGTAGATTGACATTCTCAGCCAAGAGCTGAAATTATAAACCACAAGCAGAATTTCTTTTTCTTCAGGGAAACTTCTCTTCTTAAAACCTTGCAATTGCTTGGAGCACACCCATCCAACTGATTTACAATAATCTCTAACTAAGAAAGAAGGAGGAACAGGAAGAAGAAAAGGAGAAGGAAGAGGAGGAGTAAGATGACAAGGATGAAGATAAAGAAGATGACAAGAAAAGGAAGAACAAAACAGAAAAGAATGTTAGCCCATCTACAAAGAAAAACCTTCAATAATTGGGACCCCTCCACCTAACCAAGCTGACATATAAAACAAACCACGACAGGCTTCTAGTTGTTTTAGTTGCCTGAGCTCTCGACACGCTTCCCCCTCGCTTCACGTAGACCCTCACCTGCCACACACCTCATCAGCCACTGACCTTTGTTAAACCTCTTTTGGCTTTCCATCCCACATTGCAATCCTTAGTCTTACAGGGTCCATTTTCTACAAGACCCTTTCCAGTTCCTCTCAATTGTATTTCTCTTACTCCCATACTTACCCCCTATTTCTGTAAGTCTCTGTCTTGTCTACTGGGAGAAAGTATTGGACACTGTTCATTTGCTGTATGCCACACCTTCTGGAGGTCTTGGCATATAAAAGCATCTCAACACATTTCTTTTGAATTATACCATACAAACAGAACCTGCCACAATTTACAGATAACTCAGCCACACTCTTTTCAAAGCCTTGCCTCAAGGGTCCTCAGGCAGCCCACACACATGGTCACTATTCCAGAGGTCTAATTTGCTTGCATTCATCCTTACCTAGAAGTGTGAGGACATTTTTTCCTAGATGATTTTAATTCAAGTCTCTTTTTTTTTTTTTTAAAGATTTATTTATTTATTCATACAGAACTGGGGTACAGGCCAGAGGCTCAGGGGCGGTGAGAGGCTTCACCAGAGACAGAGTGGGGAGCAGAACAGGTAGATCGACGAAGTACACTGCTGAGGGGAGCAGTGGGCGGGTCAGGAGAGGTCTGGCTCGCCATGTGGTCTCCTCCGGGGCAGGCGGGAATCGAACTCATGCGGAAGTGGCTTCAGATTCTCAGTGCTGTGCTTTAACCCGCTGCGCCACCAGGGAGGGCCATAATTCAAGTCTCTTTTAAACTCCCCCTTAGAAACATCCTATTGTAAATGCTGCCTAAGAAACCCACCAGCCCCTTTCCTCTGCCTTGAGGTAAGGACCTCTTTTTTAGAACGTAAAAAGGAACAAATATATATTTGCATATACATTTACATTCTAGAATTTGCTGATCTTAATTTTTGCCCAAATGAAATGCGTTCGTCTAATGCCCCCAGGTTCCATGACCATTGATCTGGATCGAGGGTCCATTGTGTTCTTAAAATTCTCAAAGGGGTCCATGATTTCCAAATGGTTGAGAGTCACATCTCTCCCATCCCTCTTTTTAAACCCTACAGCTATTGGCTTAACTAACTTACTACCCCCCACCCCCAGCCTGGTTTGCCTGCCCCTAATCTTCTCCCCATTATTTGCATTATACAAGTAAATTTACACAAAACACAGTTATGAGCATATTGTTCCCTGACTCCACAAGAGTCAATGGTCTCTCTTCACTGGCAGAACTGTATCAACATGGTACCTGATACTCAGCCAGAGTATTGCTCTTCCTTCAAAAGCTCTCTCTTCTTCCTCACCTTTGCTTCCTATCTTGGAAAACCATCTCCTCCAATCATTGATTATTATAAACACTACACACCTCTCCACACCTAAGTCATATGCTCCTATCTCCAAAATTACCTCCCAGGATGTCCCAGGCAGAAAAGATATATATTTTTTAACCACTGAGTATTTTTTTCAATAGTTTGAGTCTTGTGAAATTCTGCTAGTTATAATTCCAAAACTCATTCTCCTCCTCTACTCTGTCATTTTTGGCCACTGTATTTTAGGGTCTTTGTATAGCAGATTACTTACCCTTTTCCCAGACACACGCATGTATTAAATTATCCTGTGCCTTGTTATTCTTTGTATAAGTGCTTCATCTTCTCCACTACGAAGCTAGCTACTAGTTGGTGTCCCTGCTCAATATCTTGTCCCCTACATTCTTAATTTTCCCACCAACACAGCATCTATGACAATCACCATTTTTTTTTAGATTGATTTATTTATGCATACAGAACTGGGTACACTTATGTATAGGGGCGGTGAGAGGATTCACTCGCCGAGAGGATCCACAGACAGAGCGAGAAGCAGAACAGGCAGATAGATGAAGTACACTGCTGAGGGGAGCAGCGGGCGGGTCAGGAGAGGTCTGCCTCGCCATGTCGGTCACCTCCAGGGCTGGGGATTGAACCAACACTGAAGCAGCTGCAGCTACCTTGAAGTGCTGCGTTCCAACCCGTTGCACCACCAGGGAGGGCCTGACCATCACCATTTTTACTGAGTTATATTTGACATACAACACTATGGTTTATGTTGACATGGAACATTAGTTTCAGGTTACAGCATAGTGATTCAATATTAGTATGTATTTCAAATGATCACCACAATAAATCTAATTACCTGGGGTGAACCTTTTAAAAAGGAAGTCAAATCGTATCATTCTTTGCCAAAAACCCTTGTTCAGTAAACAGTAGAAATTCTTAGAATAGCCTACAAAGCCTTATATGATCCATACTCTCCCATCAATTGATTTTATTTCAAAGACCATATTTTCCTTGATTCATAGGTGTGTTCCACTCCTACCACTGAAACACTCACTCTGCACCAGCCACAAACCAACCTCTTTACATGGTAAAGCTCCTTAGGGCCTTTGCCCTTCTGCTTATCCCAGATATCAACGTGACTTATTCATTTGCAAAAAAAAAAAAAATTATTTTTGGGTAGGAGAATGGAGGTGTAGGCCAGAAGTGAGGGGTAGGTGGTTTGAGAGGATTTACCAGAGACAGAGTGGGGAGCAGAATAAGCCGATTGACTGAAATAAATTGCTGAGGGGAGCAGCAGGCGAGACAGGAGAGGTCTGCTGCGCCATGTGGTTTAGTTCCCTGGCCAGGATTAAATGTAGGCAGTAGAGGTGATAGTGCTGAGACTTAATGTGTAGGCCATCAGGGAGGCCAACATGGCTTATACTTTAATCTCCTTCAATATCTTTGCTCAATGTTACCACACCAGAAAGGATTTCTCTCAGAATTCCATTTAAAATTATACATCCTCTCTTTCACCACAAGACAGTATCCCACTTCCTTGCCTGATTTTTCTCCACAATTTCTATCACCCTTGTATATATTATATTCCTTCTTATTTACTTGTTTATTGCATGAGAATGTAAACTCCAGGAGAGCAGGGGGTTTTGTTTATTGCTGTATTCTCAGTACCCAGAACAGGATACCACAGCATAAGTATTCAATAAATATTTGAGTGAATGAATTCCTTTAGGGGCAAACACTTTTTAGTCCCCTTCATGCCTAGCACACTGCAATAAAGCATACAGTAAATATTTGATGAATATTTGACCATAATGGGAGATTACTAATACTCTGCCGAGATTACTAATACTCTGCCATGCAGTTGCTTCCTTCTCCAAGTGTTCCTATACATCTAAGTCTACATTCAATTTCTGAACTCGTAAAAAAATGATACAAGGTCAGAGAGGTCCTCTATGGACACTGCTGAAAATGTCAGTAAAAGAAAAACAGGACGCTACCTTGAGTATTTTCTGCCTACACCACTTGGACAAATCCCTTCCATCCCTGGAATTTGGCTTCACCACATACAAAACGAAGTTAGGGAGTAGAAGGCTGTTGAACCCCTTCTATTTTTAGGGTTTGCATGGTGGTACTCATGTGTGGACTATGCTTAATGAAAATGTGGTGAAAGTATAAAGGCTGTCTTTGGTTTAATTAGCAAATATCATTAGAAAATTAATAAAATATGGTGTAGATGATGCTGCTGAGTCTCACATGAGGCAGCCAGGCCCCCAAACCAGGATTTCTTATTCTTTCGGGGCTCGCTAGGCCAATATTGTGCACGTGTACTGGATTTGCACTCTTTTCTAAGATTAGTCAGATATTTTGGAAAATCCTCACACCTGCACTGTTTGAACGTACTTGGCCACAGCTTTAGAAACAAAATAGTTTTCTCTTGAGGAGTCTCTGGATAATTCAGGTGGCATGGCCTCCGTCACTTCCCCTTTGGGACTTGTCTTCCAGGCAAAACAACAAAGCACAATTTCAAAGAGCAACCAAGCCTTTCAGATGCAGCCGTGCTCTGGGCGTCCGATGTAAAAATGCTTCATTCTCACAAAAACATGTTAAAAAACCACGTTCAGAAACATGCCAAACTCATGTTCCGAAATCTCTTTTAGCCTGATGCGCTGTGGTTTGCCATCCTGATAAACAGATTTGCCTAAAACAAATTGCAACCGAACCAATGTCACTTTCTGGTGTTGAGCGGGGGGTGGAGGGGCATGAAAGAGCTGGCTGCACGCGTCACGAGTATCCCCGCATCTCTGGCGAGCGCCGTTAGTCTCCCGGCTCCGTGCGCCGCTCGCCCGACAGCTTAGCTACGGGGCGGGGCGACTTCCCCACCGCGGGCTGCGCGGGCGGCAGGGCAGGCGGAGTTCCAGCGACGACCCGCCCCTCCCTGCGGCTCCGCTAATCGGAGCGGGTGGGTGTGGACGGCCCTCTGGACCCCGCCTCCCCGGAGCTGGGCAATTAAGAGCCGCGCGCCGGGCGGGAATGTAAGATGGCGGAGTAGCAACGCTTAAGCATTTTGTACCGAGTCTCTGGGGCGACTTCGGTCCTGGTCTCCACAGCAGCCGCGATTGCCGAGAGGCCAAGGCAGTGGACCAAGATGCCGAACATCAAAATCTTCAGTGGCAGCTCCCACCAGGACTTGTCCCAAAAAATTGCCGAACGCCTGGGCCTGGAGCTAGGCAAGGTGGTGACTAAGAAATTCAGCAATCAGGAGACCTGGTAAGGGCGAAGGTGGGACCGCGAGCCGCTGCACCTGCCTGGGTACTGGAGGTGGCGCTTGAGCGGCGGAGGGTAGGGGGATGGTGCTGCCACGTGAGTTCCGAGGGGCCGGGGTGGGGGGGGCAGGGACCGATTTGCTCTGTGGCAAGGGTGCCCCAAGAGCGGTTTCCGTTATTTTACCTCTCGCGGGAGAGTCACGTTTATTCTCACCGTGCGGTGGGGTGGAGTCAAGATGGAGCATGAGACAAAACCGCTTGGTCTGAAGGCCAGGGCTAGAGGAACCAGCGCAGGGATGGTGGCTGCCTGTAGCGACGGGAAGGGAGAGACGCTTAGCCTTGGCCATGGGGACACGTGGCTTTGTCGCTTCCCTCTTGAGCCACCCGGGCCAAAATTGGGTTTGCTTCAGCTCTTGGACCAGCTCGCATGGGAGAACCTACTGCACACTGAGCCCTCTTGGTGGTTCTTCTAGAGTCTCGGAAGCAGCTTTTCGATTCGAAATGTCAGTCGGGTTTGGTGTTGAAGGAAACTGACATGACAAACTGAGGGCGCCAAAATTATTACCGAGGACGCCCTCAGATGGAGAAGCATTGGCTTTTCATTAGAATCGGAGCCAGTTAAGTTCTATTTTGTTGGTTGGACAAAATGATCCATTAACACCGTAACCCGACTGGAAGCATCGCTGCATGAGCCATCCAAAACGTTTAGGGAACCTTAATTGTGGAATCCACCTTCCCCAATGCAGCTGCTGGTAGAGATCATATACAAGCATATTTAATTTTTATTAGCAGTTTGTTCAAAGCCTGTTCACTTCTCTTAGTGCTTTTGGGGGGTGTTAAGAAACAATCTTATCGTCGAATATTAAGGTAACTGAGAAGAGGTAATGTAAGATCAGGATCCCACAGTGCATTGCAACTCAGTTTTTTTCATCTCATTGCCAGTTAAACTTGCTCCCTTCCCCCATTACCCCCAAGCACCGTGGGGCCATTTTAGAGATAACTTGGTTTTCTGATCCCCTCTGTACCTCTTCCATCTAAAAGAAGAATCTTCTGCTTCGGACAGGTGTGCTTTGTAGTTTTGTGGTTGCGCCCCGTTGATCAAATTAGAGCAGTGATCACAATATTACAGATCTCTGTCAAGGGGAAAGTTTACATCAAACCCACTGATCAGTTAAATTGGCTAAGATCAGTTTAGATATTTTTTCTTAAATGCTTTTGTGACCTTTTTTCTTCCCTGAAGTGTAACCCCCTTGTTCTTTTTTAGACAGCTGACAAGTGTTGCTCTCTACTAGACAGCCTCCTTCTGGATGCTTGATTATCGTGCTAGTGGCTGTGATGCAAATGATCGTGCAAACATGGATGTCATCTGTAACCAGGCAATACTTAAGTCAAAAGCGTCTAGGCAAGCTTTCTTTAGCTGAGACCACAACATTATGCTTCATGGGCAATAATAAAGAAGACAAAAGAGGACCAGGCTTTGCAAGTGACAATATAGCTAGGGGACAAGATGGATTTTCATTTAAAGACACCCAGCCACCCTGACAATAGAGGTTATCAAATCATTTTCTGGTGCTTCTTTTGGGACTCAGATGATGAGGTTTCATATGTGGGCTCTGAGAAAGAATTCAGAAGATATTCATCACTACACAGCAAAAGTCGATTGCATAGATGCAGACAGGCAGCCTTCAAAGGCAAGAGCTGCATTTTGACTGGGCAAGGGGTGTTCTTTGATAGAATTATTGTAGAAATTGTCTCCTGAAGGCCAAATTGGGTTTGTCTTCTAAAATGGTTGATCTTCTCTGCCCCTATCTTGACTGATAATCTTTTCTGACCCCACCTTAGAATCCTGGAACTTCCCATAGCTAGTTTAGTTAAGATTTACTTAATCCTCCCTACCCTCACCGGGTGTTTGTCCTTGTGAGACCTTCCATCCTAAAATTTTTTACTCTATAAGTAGATTCCATTAAAAAAAGTCATTTGATTTTTTTTTTCTTATTGAACCTTTCCCTCTGCATAATTCAACACCCTAGAATCAGGCTATATTGGGAAGGGGCTGGGGACGACAAGGCAATTTTCTACTGATTGTTTTTTCTGACTTCATCAACAATCACAATGTCCTTCTGAGATAAAAAGCTCAGATTTCATTCTGAAACAACTGAACAGTCACATGCTTGGAAACATTGGCTAAGGGTAAGCCCAGTGTGGGTTATTAGTACTGAGTAGGTTTCATTATTTGTGGCTTAATCTTTAGTTTTTTGACCCCTTAAATGTTTTGGAATCTTCATTGAATAAAATCACATATGATGCCTATGGCGCTTCTCCCCACCCCTCAACTCCCCCCTCCAACGTTTAGTTTTTTGGGGACTGAACAAATGCTAACTGCTGCCAGAGGTGAATTCTTGGGATCTAAAAGACCCAGCAGCACAGTGAGTATCCTGGATCATAAGCTGGGGAATGAGAGAGCCCATCTTCAAATGAAACAGTTTTGTTCTTGCTACATTTAGGTGGAATCTTAGGGGTTGATGCTCTCTTCAACAGAGTGGCTTTTCTGAAATGAGGACCATTCTTTTCTGTCACACACATACATGTATGTGGTGTATCATACAAAAATATAGGAAAGGTTAAAAACTGCAGGCTCTGAAATTAAAAAAAAAAAACTGGATTTAGATCTTTAGCCTTTTCTCCCTTCAGTAATCTCATCTCTGTAAACAAGTATCTACCCATGCAGCTTAAGGATTAAATGAAATAGGATTAGAATTCTTAGAATATTGTCAAATACAATAAATACAGAATAAATTTTGCTAAGAGAAGTGGTAAGGTCATTGCAGAAAATGTGGAAAATACAGAAGAGGATAAGGGGGGAAAAGACCTATCTCATTAATGCCACCACCAAGATAAAACTGTTCACATGTTGATTTGTGACCTTCCAGATGCTTGTCTGTAAATGTATGTGTGTGTTTACATACTTCCTCAAAAATACAAGAAACATGGTTTGCAGCTTGGATCACATAGTAACATTTTGACTAGTTACTCCCCTTAATATTTAGTCTATATGATTTTAAGTAGGTATATAGCCTTTGTCTTAGGGTTTTATCATCATTTTATTTATTTTTAAAGATATATTTATTTATGCATACAGAACTGAGGTACAGGCCAGAGGTGCAGGGGGGTGGTGAGAGGCTTCACCAGAGACAGAGTGGGGAGCAGAACAGGCAGATCAGCCACATACACTGCTGAGGGGAACAGCGGGCAGGTCAGGAGAGGTCTGCTGCGCCATGTGGTCACCCCCAGGGCTGGGATCGAACTTGCACTGAAGCAGCTGCAGCTTGCTTGCAGTGCTGCGCTTAACCCACTGCACCACCAGGGAGGGCCTTTACCATCGTTTTAAATGATTTCTTTGGCCTCCCTTAAAGACCTGTGATTATTAACAAATCGTAATTATTAGCTATTTCCAATTTTTGATTAATTTTGAACTAATATAAAGTCTTTTGGCTTTTTATAAAGCCTTATGAACATTTCTGATTTCCTGAGGATCATTCCCTAGGAAGGAGAAATTACTTGATTAAACAGATGTACACTGTTTCTCAGGCTTTTGATACTTAGTGCCAAATTGTGCTCCAATAAAGTTGAATTTCTGATCTCATCAGCAGAAATAAAATACTAGTAATTGATGTACAGTGAATGCTTAATTTGTGCTATATACTATGCTAGACACTTTATACACATAATACCCTCACCGATGATATGAGGAGTTACTCAATCCCCATTCTACAGATGAGGGAACTAAAATCAAGAGATTAAGTAATTTGCTCTAATTTGGGAATTATTCTTTTAAAATGTTGCTGATATATTTCATCTGACTTTTAAAGCTCTTGAATTTACTGATTTTTTTTTAAACTCCGTAATCTTGAACATTAACACATGACTTTGGTTTATTTAGTTAATCTCACTGGACTACTAACTTTGGTTGCCTGGGATTGTCCCAAGAACTATAATCTTTGGTTAGTTAATCCCTTGTGCTTTGCGCATGCCAAAATCTCTGTGTTAATTCTTAAGGCTTTCTTAAGAATACTACCTGCTTATTAGATTTTACTTTATTTCATTTTTGTGCTTATTAGCATTCATTGCCAGTCTGGTGCAGATAAGGTCTGATGATTAAGGGATAGAAGCTGGTTTTCTTATTGGTTGGTCATATAACCAGGCATCTGGCCTCTTGAAAACATCTAGGAGAGTGGCTGACTCAAAGTACTTTGCAGATCCCTCCATTAGAGGCAGGGGACAAGGGCTGTTGCTCTTTTAAGTTGCTGACCCAGGTCTTTCCACCTGATAGATTATATTTTGAGCAAACTGGTTTTTAGGCACAATTTTTCTGCCATCAATCACTGCCTAATTTATCTCACAGAGTTAGAGGAAACCATAAGAATAATACTAAAAAAATATTTTTAAGTATTCATTGAACTGTTTATTGACTAGCCTCTAAAATGAGTATAGTTCAGGGGTTTATGATTCATGAATGAAATTCTTTACCTTTAATACTACTTGAGGGAAAGGTTTGTCTTTGTTATTGAAATTAGAATTATATATAGTAAAAAAAGCATTGCAACAAATTTTAAAGGTGATTAAAGAAGACCCTTTTCAAGTTTTCATGCCATTTCAAAACATCCTTCTATGCCCAAGGGTAAGATTTTTTTCCCTAAGCATGACTTTGGGAAATGGCTGGAAATCAGCTATTGGTTGATTATCATCAAATGATCTAATAGCAAATTGGTGCTAGTGATTGTGTTGGATGGTGGGCTGGTCATTTTTAAAAATTTATTTATTTATTTATTTATGCATACAGAACTGGGATACAGACGAGAGGTGCAGGGGTGGTGTGAGGATTCAGCAGAGACATTGGGGAGCAGAACAGGCCGACTGACAAAGTACACTGCTGAGGGGAGCTGCGGGCGGGTCAGGGAGGTCTGCTGCGCCATGTGGGTCACCCCCAGGACAGGGATCGCATGC